GTACAAAATGTCACCTCGGCTAGCCTTGCCTTAAAACAAGTGCACAAAGGGCAAACACTGAAAGGGGAACTCTGGTGATCTTTTTCATTCATAGATTTCGATAAAACTTTCAGCCTACGCTCTTTTTGTACCCTGATAATGTGCCAAGTTATAAAACTGGGATTGGTTTAGCTTATTGGAAAAATGATTTCGCATTTAGTAGCGAATTCCGGAATCACGTTTAAAACAGCAGGCCTGCCTGTGTATGTCACGTATGTGTCTGCTCTTTTTCTGCCCCCCCTCCCCCCCTCGCCCAGCAGGTGGATACAGTGCATGCTTTTTTTTATGAAGCAACAACGACACGAGATGATTCAATTTTGTCAGCTGCATAGCGTGTAAGTCGTTCACATCTGGTCTTTCAGTAATAATTAGCAACGAGGAGATTCATGCCAGGTAAGACAGCTGCTTCATGCACCGGCAGGTCAAAATCAAAAGGCGATGCTTCCACGTTTAGATAGTAGCTGCGATTTTTGCTCAACTCGTCACTGGTAAGTTCAGAAGGGCTGGTATAGCTTGACTCTGTGTCGTGTGACATCATCAGCTTGCTTTTCGTGCGATGAAAGCAGCACGTGTGCCATGTTTACACCTTGGCTAGCTGTGGTGGCTTTGGTATCGGCCCAGTTTCTGCTCGGGTATGTCCCCCTCAAGACGTGCTTCATGGGTGTATATATAATTCTATGCCTTGGGAAAAATAGTTTCCCGCCTCGGCTGTGGCTGTTCTCCTTCTCAGAGGCCAGCACTTCGGGCCCTTGGTCTTCGGCAGTGTCGCGTTTGATGCGCAATACAACAGTGGCATAAACAGGGATTTCGTGATGTCATCGCATGCTTAGCACAGAGCAGCTCCCTGTTTGTTTTGGCGCAATGTTTATTGCTTATTTAAAATTATTGACTAGTGTCAGCTGAATGAACCGTGTCTCTCATAATCATATGGTGGTTTTGGGACTTAAAGCCCCACATATCAATCAATCAGCTGAATGAACCCCCCTTGCTGTTGCAGGACTGTTAATATTATTTGAAAACGGCATTATCTTAATATAGCCGAAAATGCACCGGTGTTCTCTTTTGAAGGCCGTTTTAGGGTCATTAAAATGCAGAATTTTTCTTAGTTATCTTAAGATGATCACCTACAGTGAACATCATGCCAATCTCTTGTCGTTACAAGGATTACTCTGTGACATAAGCACATTGTTATTAGTATTTCTAGAGAGCAGCTGTTTCCATGGTTTGGAAGAGTGGTGACATGCACAATTTCTCGTGCACTATTTGGTGTACTATAACAAACAATTTGTATTCAAAAATACTAAACTTTATTTGGACTTTACTTTCATTATTCAAATTTTCTTCAAAGGTGAAAATTTTATGTTGACACGTGCCTAGTATTTACTTTAGTCACTGTAATTAGGAAGGAATAAAAATACAAACTCAAGGTGAGGCCCTATGAGAGACAGTAGCAGTTCATTTAAGCGTGGGCCATGAAAAGTTCACTTTTTGAGCAGCAGTTGAGTGTAGGGAATTTTGCATTGTCACTACCTTTGACCCAGATATGTTTGGTTCCATTGAGTTTATGTCGCATATAACACTTACGAAGCCTGACTCTAATAAAACGGGCAAATGAAGTCTCTTGGCTGAAGTTGCCACTGTACACGGATGGACACATGCTGGAGCAATGCCCAAAGCAGCTTTGACTAACAATAGATCCAAATTTAGATGTGGGTACATGCCTTGCATGACGTGCAGGTCTTTCAGGTTTTGAATGTCAAGGTGTCAACTCGCGAAACTCCCTAAAAGACGAGACTGCTTGAAATTTATATTTAATCTGAGAACACATAACTAGGCTTGCGAGAATATTCAGATGCTTTGAATATTCGCACGAAAAATGCAGTATTCAAATTCGCTTTGAATTGAAGTCATTAAAAATATTCATATTCGGAATGAACGAATAGATGCATATTAATCTTCATGTGACACCTTGTAAAAGTAGTTTCACTGCAGTGAAGTGGTGCTAAGCCATGAAAATGCATATCTAAGTGAAATGAGCACTGCCATGAAGCCCCATTTCTTGGTCAAATAAGGAGATTACCCTCGCATTGATTCATTTTTCTTTAAGTTTAGGAGCTTGTTATACTAATATGCTCTAAGTTTAGCAAACTTTAAAAAGTAACATAGTTGACTGGCTATCACCTGCATTCTACCGAAAGTCTAATCCTCTTGCTACTATTCAAAGTTGTTCCGCTTTCTTTGATGCAGAAAAATGGCATTTTCACAGGCCTTGTTTCTATTAAAAAAAAATCTGCAGGTTACGTAGTTCATGACCAATATGCCCATTATTCATTATAATATGCAACATATATGCTATTCGATTTAAAAGTATTTGACCGAAGTTGCTATTCGCTTCGAACCTAAAATTCACTATTTGCGCAAGCAACGCGCAACCCCAACATAGACAAATGATTGCTCTACAGGCATAACGGATCCTGCCCCTGAGGTAAATTACTAACAAATGCAGATGCTGTATGCTTAGTTCCTAATTATTCTGCTCCACTCGTCAGTTCCTATGACACGATTGGTTGAGGAGAGAAGTCACAGGGACCTCACCAATGTCAGTGATGGAGATGCTTTGGTGAGACGTACGGAGGTCGACGAAGGTACCATTGCCGTCATCGTTGAGCATTTGTAGGTTCTGCTGCGTTTGGGAGCCTTCCTAGGCTACTGGTCAACGCTGAACTCTGAGGTTGTGTTCCAGCCAGACAGCAATGTCTTAGCTCGTGCCCGAAGCCCAACTGCTCAGACTTTTCCACGGGCACAGGAACGCATTGCAGAAGCAGCGCACCACAGCACTTGTTTGCACACTTAAAACATAAGTAATACAAACGTTAGCCAGTTTCATCTAGTATATGCATTATTCAGTGGCAGCTCGGCTCTATTGTGGCATGTTTAGCTGCTCAAGTTAACTTCGCAACCATAGAGTTTCGTAGAATTATACCTAGAGGGGAATGTGGTGCTAGTGTCTACGCGGGCTCCTTCAGCGCCGCTTGTACCATGCGCCATGTACCAGGCTTCAAATCTGCTTTGAATGGATTATATTGAGATTTGCGACGCTTCTTTTTTTGTGTGTGTGTAAAACAAAGTGGTATGAACTAATGTCTAATTGAACCCTGATTCATTTATTTGTATGCGAAAATTCATTGCTCAATTTTTTGTGACCAGGTGGCAAAACTGAAACCTGGGCATATTTCACTACCAGGGTATGCATTGCTCTGCCATGGCCTTCCAGATTTGGCATCAAGATTTAATGAACCATTTTTTACAACACTTGAAAACCAACATGCTTGTTCCTCTATCGGAAAGTACGCTTTGTCTATTTAAGAAAATGACAGTACAGTATTAAGTGAGAAACACTTAACATTTCGACTTCTGAGATGCTAGGTGTGTCTATCCAAGTTGTTTGCCCTTAACGCACATTTGGTTTGGTTGTGAGGTCGAGTCAGTGAAACGTGACGGTGCGTCTACTTAGCTTCGTGACCATTTTGCAGTCAATTTAAACGAGTTTGGGCAAAATGTGCTTGTGAAAAAAGGTTAACTTGATGCAGTATCCTGCACTGGCATTGGACTAATCTATGCGCAGCGGTAAGTGAATGATACTTCGTTTAAACTGTCAAATATGACTCGTAAAGCTTGAACATCACAGTAAATCAAGAGACCTGGTGGTCTTCAGTTTCTTGGAACAACAAAAGCACTTCAGCGCTTTTCACCGCACCCCACTACCCAGGCTGGGCGAAGAACTAAATTGAAACTAAAAAATGTCTGTAGTAAGTTTGCTAGCTAGCTCTATTCAACCCGAACCAAAGCCTGTACTTCCCATAATTCCCATGTGGGTACATGATCGCAGTGCCAGATTCCTCTCTAGGTATTATTGTATGAAACTCTATGTTAGCATCCTTCTGATCTTTTATTGCGCTAAACAACATCCACTACTCTAGCCATAGTCGACATCCCCAAAGGCAAGAGCCATGTTGGCAAGGTGTGCTGCCGCACACTGCTCGCTCTGCCTTCTGCCAGGCTCATTCTTGGCACAGGAGCTGTCCCAAGATGGAGGTACTCATAGTTGCTCCCGCCAAGAGCAAGATTTGTTCAGTCCTTCACTATTTGCGTGCCAAAGAGGCTTCGCCCAAGAATAATAATCATGGCGACGAGTGCACGTCTGTTCAACACTTACAAAAGTTGTGCAGGGAAGTTCAGTGCCAGTCAGAATGGAGTGGAAGACTGCCAGTTCAGAGACCATTATTGAGATATTCCAGAGCGATGAACCTGACGCTCGGATTCCTGGGAGTTCTTAAGGTGCAGTAGAAAGAGTTTCGACTGAAAAATTGTGGTATCATAGATGTTGTGCTCCTTGGGTACCACGCATGTTGACTGCAGAAAACTAGGAGAAATGGCTTGCCTGTGCTAGTTAGTTTCTTCAACAGTGTCAAGATGATGCAGGAAAAATTGGTAGACGCCATTGTTATAGGAGACAGTGTGGGGGTTTCATTTCACTCATGAAACGAAACAGAAGTTCAAACAATGGTGTCACTCAATGTCATTAGTCACAAAGTCATGCCAATGAACCCTTTTAAAAATTGTTACGTTGGCCTTCCTGCTATGCATTGAACAAATTATGGCGGCTTGTCATTTAGTGGAACTAGCATGCTCAAGCACTGTTTGCTTACACAGTAACGTGAAGAATGTTGAATTGCCTCTCTTGATATAGACAAGCCCCAGTACGTTCAACTAGGACTGCGTGTCCGCTTGAAGCACGACAAGTGCCGCCATTATTTGTTCCAGTATGCTGTGCAGAGAAGTGCACTTGCGACTTATGGAAAGTGACCATTGTACTGGCTTTCGAGCAATGTTTAATGTGCATGGCACTTGTAGCAGCCTTTCGTATAGGTAGAAATGTTGTCTGTTCATGTTGACTGCAGCAGAAGAAACTGGCCTCCGGACGACAACTGTTCCGCAACAAAGGAGCCAATGAGGCTGGACCATCCACCAGCACAAGTGCGCCTGTTGGTGAAGTGACGAACATGGACAGCTTTGCTGTAAGTGCACAGATGTATACATTGGCCACCGCACCCTAGGGCGTGTACAGTCGAACCTCGTTATATCGAACGGCGCGGCGATCGCGAAATAGTTCGATATATCCAGAATTCGATATAAAAAAAATCACGAAAAAAATGCGTCAACAGCTTGCTGAAAACAACCAACGAACCGTTCAAGCGTCGGTGCAGTAAATACTCACTTGAAGATTCAAACATAGTATTTATTGTGTTGGTTTAAAATATTGAAAAAGAGCAGCCTGCTTTTTGTTGGCCATGGCGTGTTTGACGACTGCGTCATCAATATAGTCCAGGCGATCCATAAGTGATAGGCCGGTGCCTTCAATTGCGCTGCAGTGGCGGCGCACAAGGGCCAAGGCAGCTACGACCTCAGCTGATGTCGGGAGCGGGGCACCATCAGCGCTTGCGGGATCCACCTCGGCAGAGTCTTCATTTGGCTGCTCAGCGGTAGCTTCAGCGACAATCTCCACATCCGTGAGCTCCACCGTTGTGAGCTCCGCCGTTCGGAGTTAGGCCTATCGCGCACGACAGGCCTTACTTTGAACGCACGTACACTGCGAGCACAACGACCGATGCCTGCCGATGCTACGGGGGAGGAGCTTGCAACAAGTGCGCAGTGTGCCGTTGACACCATAGAGACTGCAACGACTGCAAGCTGCAAGGCTGCAGCGTGAGTCCAGGTGTAAAGTGCGCACATGGCGCGCCCATGCTGGCTCGCCTGACTGCTTTCCCCTCCATGGCTTTCCCTTTTCCGGCGGCAGCGCGGGCCGCGTCCGAGATAGTCGTCTGCGTTCTTTCCCTCCTATACTTTCCTCCTCAATCTTTACCTCCCACTCCCCCTTCCCCCGCGCGAAGCCGTCTCGGTGCCTTCGTATTGAAAGAAAATAACAGCTCCGCCCTTTTCACTTTTCTCATTCAAGAACCTCTATTGCAAGGCTGCGGCGCGCGTACGCCGCTACGTTAAAGTGGCGCTCTCGGCGCCATCGATGTGTGCAGCATTCGTAAACGCCCGCAGCTCTACCGCTACTTTCGAGAGTTGCGGGAAAGCTCGCTGCCTGTCAATGGAGCGCGGGCGGTTTGGGGTGACCGAGTTCGATATATTCATTATATGTCAAACTTTGTTCGAAATAAAAAATCAATAATGCATGCGATTTCCCGCGTGATATAGGAACCAGTTCGATATAGCAATAATTCGATATATCTGTGTTCGATATATTGAGGTTTGACTGTACTACTTCACTGGACACCTCCTATAGCTGCGTTTTTCAGACACGCTCATTGGTGTCGTTTAAAAAAAAAAGGTGTGCTACTTATAAAGTCAATTGAAAGTCTTAAAATAGGGATACCTCATAGGACCAGGAAAAGGTTTTCCATTTAACTGAAGTTCAATTTACTGACTATTGCTAAGCACTAGCCTTGATCTAATCTTTCAAGAGGCAGCTGTTTATTCAGTCTGCTGTATCGATAGGAAACATGTCCATCTCCCTAGTGGCCCTACTTGAGAGGTATTTTCTTTTTGAATGGATCTTTAAAGTGCTATCACAGTCAGAAGTTCAAGGCCTCGGTGTTGTTAGCCACAGCGTTAATTAAGACTAACAGACACCAAGGAAAGTGTGGGGGGCATTGTAGTGAATATGATGTAAATTTGAAGTAAATTGGATGAGACAATAACTTTTTGTTAATTCTAATTAATATTGTGCCTAGCAAACTAAACAGAGCCTTTAATATTCCTTTTTGGCCAGCTCATAAAAGGATCCTATTCCATGCTTGATGATGCCAGAAAATAGCGCAAAGAAACGGAGACACAAGACGAGGACACACGACACACGGCGCAGGCATCATTCAAAAGTAGCAGGTTTAGCCCCTGCCAGTGACAGGTCTTTTTCGTCCACTTTCCTTTCTTTGAATTTCTATCATAATCATTAGAAATGACATCCCTAGCACTTTTGATGGTTTTCTCATCAGTTCTAGTTGCACATCTTGGGTAGCTTGGGTGTTTTCATGTGCCCATTTCAAATGGGAGATTACTTTTTCTAGTGATTTTTCTAGGTAAACGAAAATGCTGCCTAAATAGAACGACTGCTTCTAAATGATTATTTTTGTAGTCCCTGTCCATCTGTTAGAAACACCTGTTAAATGGAACATATTTTTTCAGTCCCTTCTCGTGCCATGTAACGAATCAACCATTCTTGTATTTGCGCGAGAAAATCGAAACTGAGTCTTACAGATAAAATCAAAATGCTGGAATATTTGAAATGCAATGAGAACTGCATGCAAATAATATAATAGCTGTTCCATATATATTTGAAAGAAAGCTGTGCTGAAGATTACATTCAGAAAAGTTCCACATGCCACAACATTGCTCAAGTGTTCAACAGATATTCATTTTCTTTTCATTGCGTTTAGTTTTCATTTGTAATTATTTTGATGTGCTGAATTGCTCTGTAAAATTAGAAACCACACTATGGTAAAATGGAATTACATAAGGAATGGACAAGTAAATTGGAGCTTCGAAGCAAATAGCGATTTGATTGCACACTTGTGAATTGAATACTTCAAATAGTTTAAATCCCATATTTATGAAGAGAAAAAAACATTCTTGTTTTGATCATAACCCAACTCGAACATTATTTCAAATGGGAAGGTCTGTGGGAATGTCACTTTTGTAGTTCAAGGTGAAGTGGCAGTAACTTCGAATAGGAGCAGGATTTGAGTGGCAGTAGGGTGCTAATTAAAAGTGGTGGTACAATAATCGAGGCTCGAGTAGTATCCATGTTTAACCTTGGAGCATGGTTTCATAGCAGTGCAGATTTTCCGTGGTTAAAGAGACTGTCTACCACGTTTTGTTTTTCTGTTTTGTGTCGAAATGGAAGGCATACCACCTGAAATGCTGCTGCTGTTTCTCTAGAAAGGAGTAGAAATTTTTAAAATAAATTTTTCTATGTTTCTTTATCCTATATTAGGTAGGAAGACTCCCACAACACTGGTCATCTCGTGCAATAGCAATGTTTTTGCCAGTGAAAATTAAAAAATAAAACCACATACAGTTTCAGGGGTGGAAGTGATGCACCATCCTGATCAAAAATGCATTATTGCACAGAAGCTGCTCCCACGTGGTGCCTTCAGGTGCTGTCATCTGTGATGCGGTGAGCTCAAGTGAGCTCCGATCATCATCTACCGATGTCTTCTTTGTGGCATGGTGACGGCGTGAAAGGAGCAGTCTTGCTCGTTTTGCCATAGCAATAAATTTGAACGTTCTACGAAGTAAGGCTATCGATAACTCTTTTGCATCCAATCTCTCGTAACTCCCCCAAAATGCCGGAGGTGTATCGGAATACGGTGCCTCCATGGAGCGAAGTGGTTTTCATACTCTAAGCTCAATGCGAAGTAATTTGGCCATTTTCCGTGGTCTGCCTAGATAGCCCGCATCAGCAACTGCACCCTTATGGTCAAAGTTCCAAGTTGCTGCTCCGACGCAGCCTCCCCGCATGCCTCTCCTATTGGGCGATGTTATTGTGTGCATCTTTTGTGCAACGGAAGTGGCCAGCCCGTTTCATCTCATGCCTCAACTACATTAGTTAAAATTCTTGCGCGCACGTGCATGAAAGTTCGGACCTTTCATGGAGCCACCACAAGCCTTATACGCCAGAACACAGCGAGCTCAGTGCTTGCTGCCATATTGAAAAGCGCGTGACGCCATCTGTTGCAAGCGCAGCGAAGCAACACCCTTAACTGCCACGCGAGCAGACGCTCTGCAAATCAAACACGAAACTTCACAACCCGAGTCCGGCTGTAATCACGTTTCGCGCTGTTCCTGTGTGGAAATTTGATGCTGATTTCGTGTGAAACGTCGAGGAGACCTTTCTCGGCAGTTTGGCATGTCTGCAGCACGTGCATTGCAGACTGCGGAAGCTACTTCTTCAGGTACATATTATCTGACTGGAAAAAACACAAACAGCGTTAACTGCGCGTGCCTTAGCTGTGACAAGGCAGAATTCGTGCTGTAAGCCGGCGTCACCGTAGCGCTAGAATCCGGCTTCAATTTACGCTCATGCCCCGCATGTGTATCAACTGCCAGTCCTGCCGGGCATGCGGTACAAAAGTGCCTGCCAGAACAAGATTTTAAAACTTTACGGTGACAGTCAAGGCATGACTCAGTTCGACCAAGCTGAAGGCCATGCTTCCCGTGTCGTTCACATCTCTTTTCATCGCGATAGTAGGCCGTTACAGTTGTACTAAACACGTGCGGCACGTGTATCCACGCGCGAGTTGTAATATGTATATCCTATTATTGACATGCGGCCTGCGAAAGAGTATGGCAATAGTTTTGGGCCGCATACTACAGGCATACTCGTACCTGCCGAGTGAGTGAGCAAACTATTTAACCAGCGGATTGAGGCGTGGGCCTAAGCCGCGCCAGGGGCGGTGGAGAGACCCTGTCTCTCAGCCGCCTCCCGTGCTCGTTGGATGGCCCATATTTGATCTGTCCGATCTGAGCTGATCAGCGCGGCTCTCCACCGCGCCCCAAGCTGTTCTGGCGAGACTGCATTGGCGTCCTGTATCTGTGTGCATTCCCTAACATATATGCTCTAGGGTGGCGCGCCTCATGCTACATAGCTTACACGCGTCATCAAGGTATAGTTCGGGGTAGATGCGATTTAGGTACTTCGGTTTGGAAAATGTTCTAGTTTGAAGTCGATTCCAGTCAACCTCCCGAGATCTGTCTAATGTGGAGCTAGGTGGTGGAAATCTGTGCCTCTACTTTTGGTAGAATTGGATAATGTCGCAGAACCTAAACATTCTGTCCCTCTCCCACCACTCATCTCCTCCCAGTACCTCATGTGAAGCTCCCCCATCGCGAGGTAAGTGAGACCTCGCGCTATGCGGTGAGCCTCCTCGTTGAGGTTGGGAATGAGGGACGCACACGGAGTGTGGGCTGAGAACCATATCATATACCTATCTTCAAATTCCTCGGATGATAT